ATAAAGTGATTATTGTTTTACTAAAAAAAAACAAACACAGTTTAGTTAAATACGTGTTTTAACCCTTCCATCGCCGGTAATTCAAAATAATTATAAAAGAAGGTGTTTTGCCTTTAATTACGTATCAACATAAAGTACAAGTATTTCGTTATTTGCTTGTCAAGATTTTATTTAAGAAGCCTATGGATGCATATTTCTAGTAATGTGTAATATCAGCACTAAAAGGGTTGACATATATTTAAGCTAAAACATAATTGATACAGTATGTAAGTTTATTATGGTTAAGTTGTAAAATTTAAAATAGCTGAAAATAAGTTTGTTTCTGTACAAAACACAAACAACAAAGGCAGGCAACGCATCTGCGGTTCCTCTGGTATTGCTGATGTCCATGGGCGTCATTTAACACCTCGGTGTTCCCACTGCTCGTTTGCCCCCTTCAGTTATAAAAAAACCTTACTCCCAGAGAGACGTAAATTGACAGTTGACGGATTAGTTAGTTTTTTATCATTGTCACCTGATTGATGAATCATCACAACAAAAAGCTTTTTTAGAATCTCTAAAATGATCTCTTTTTTTATTTTTCATTTCATTCGTGTTTTTTCAACAATCTAGGTGTGTGAAATAAATAAAACACGTTATAAAAGTCGATTACATTTATTATTTTATAAATGAGATTTTTTATTATATATTTCACAATAACTTGTCTAGACATACTACATCTAACTAAAAACGTAAAAAGTATTATAAAATGCTAGTAGAATCTAGAGTTATCATAATATAACACTTTATGTAGCTTACAATTATTATAAGTTTGTTTTATAACATAGCTAATAGTTACCCGCGACTTCGTCCGCACGGAATTAATAAATCTAGTATTCAATGTAGCCTCTGTCACCAGGAAATAGCGTAGCTTGCCAATAGTGAAAGAATTTTTCAAATCGATTCAGTAATTTCGGAGCCTATTCAATGCAAAGAAACAATTTAATATTTCCTCCTTTTAATCTTATGTATATATAAATTTCTAATATCACAATGTTAGTTATCATACTCTTCAGAAACGGCTTGACTGATTTTTTATAAATTTATATACGCATTCAGTATGTTGAAGAAGTTGCGGGCGAGTTAGTATTAGAATAGTTAGCAGTCCGCCCTAGCTTTGGTCAGTGAGGTAAACAAATGAAAAAATAAAAGCTTTGTGGAGTGGAGGTCTAAGAAGATTGAAAATATTATCACCAAATTAAAAAAATCTTATATGTAAATTAATACAATACTTAATCATAGAAGGAGAATGAAATGTGTAGACTAATTGTTACATTTCATGAAATATTTTAATATAAAAACAATAAAACATCTCCACAGTTAGTTTTTTCGTTTATATAGCATTCATTCTAAATTGAAGGACATTTCAAAATTTAACATTCTTGTCATGCCTCACGTACAATTTCCTTTTGGTCTCTAAACAAGCGACAAGCTGATATGCACGTGTTCAGGAAATATAAGTTGGAAAGCGTTACACCTTTTTACTATTGATCACATTTAGCGAAGAAAAACATTAAAAGCTACATCAAAAACACGTATTCCTAAAGAGAGATATAAAATTATTAATTTAAAATGATGAATGTGAAAGCTGTGTGTAAAAAAATAGTCTATTTATCCTATACTTCACTTCTATAGGAAAAACAGACTATATTTTGTATTTTTTTATATTATAAGGTGGCAAAGGGGCGAGCGGCCACCTGAAATCGCTGAAATAGCGAAGTGACCGTTGCCCATAGACATACGCAATTGCATATGCGTTGCCTACCATTAATCGATGGAGGAGAGGATGCACAGAAAGAACATATCTTCCCTTCCCATGCCTCCTCTCGTCCGGAAAGTCCACTTTCACTTCCCATCCTTTCCTTATAAAAAAAGGGTGGGAAGGGAAAGAGGACTAAATAAAGCCTCCGGGACGCACACTCATCAGACGAAACGTGGAATTGCTTCCACTTCACTATATATAATATATATATATATATATATATATATATATATATATAGATTATAATTTTAATAACAAAAGAATGTGCAATAACTAGTGTTGTTATGACCTTGATTTAGCATTAGAAAAATCTTTATTATAAAACCTGTTCAAATCTTTTAAGATCTGGAAACATAGTTTACATTGCGTCAGTGTATTCAAGCGATGAAATACAAAACATTTCTTTGTAACATCTATTTAATAGCGTTATAAAAAGGGCAGCTGTGTCTCTAATTACACATTAATTTTGCGTAATGAGCCAACTTTTTACAATACCAGCTTGCGACAAAGAATAAAAATAATTATTCTTATAGGGAACCCTTGTTAAAAAGATTAATATTTTAAGGGTACAAGTGAACTGATATGATAGGAATATATATAATATTTGTGCTTAAATGCACACAAAACAAATAGTTTTTTTATAGTCATTCATTTTATTAATATCATCTTTGATAAAGTAGAGATAAAATATTTGTTTTATACGGGGATTTTGATCTCAGAAACAAACTATAAATCCAAATAACTAACATATCTAGAGAATCTCCCTATATAAAGTGGCCAAGAAAATGTTTTAGTAATTTATAATTTTTATTATCTCGGTCGTCTTTTCAATATATTTAATTGTTGTCGCCTGTGACTCCGATCAAGCGGAATTTAAAAAAAATCCTAATAAAGCCTATGTGTTCTTTCAGACTATGTTCTACATCTGTACCAAATTTCATAAAGATCCGTTGAGCCGTTCCGGAGATGCCTTCAAACAAATATCTATCCATCCATCTTATAATAACTTTCGCATTTATAATATTAGTACGATACTAAGATTAGTAAGAAATAAGATAACAATCCATGTTGTGTTAGTAAGTAAAAAAAAATATCTTTAAGTTAAGTTAAAGTTATATTTAACAAAGTTAAAATCTTGTTAGAATATATTACGATACAATTAAGTTAATGTTTCTATCACTAAGATAAATTAATTTAAATGTACCCATCAGTGTAAAAGTTTGAAATGAAACTGTGTGATGTTGCGCGGCTAGTTTGGACGTTTATTCTCATAAATACCCTTTGCTAAAAGCCGAGTTTCCGCACCAGTAACTCATATTCAAAGCATTTACTTTACACTAGTTAAATGTTTCAAACAACTTTACACAAGTTTTGCAGTTTCAATGTTACGATTATATTAAATGTAAGCGTTCACTTTTAGTTGTTTCATGATTGAAATTTTATTTAATCTTAAACAGCAGTTTAGTTACGCTATTTGCAGAATTAAAAGTTAAACTGATCATACTGATATTATTAATGTCAATGTTTGGATGGATGGATGTATAGATGGATGTTTGTTACATGCATGTATAGATCTCACTGAAATTTGACTTATATGTATAAAATAGTTTGGAAGTACTGGCCGGTAATTAAGCTATTTTTAACCCCGCGAGGACGGAGTCGCGGGCGACAACTAGTAATGTTTTAATTTCACGACATTTATTATATTCATTATGACTCTAGATATTGCTTGGTATTAAAAAACGCAAGTATTCTATGTGTTCTTCCAGATTATGTTCTGCATCAAAGCCAAATTTCAGTCAGATCCATGCATCCGTTCTGGATATAACTTCTAACAAACATTCATTCCATCACATTCGTATTTATAATATTAGTAAGATTCGTTATAAAGAATAATAATTATTAAAATATTTTAGACGACAAATAACTTAATATTTTTCAAAAAATACTTATGTATTCTTTCGTAGATTTTAATCATATAATGGTTTTTATTTTTAACTCGTCAAATCCATTAAAAATATGTAGGTATTCAGTAGGTGCGCGGTGAAAAATGAGTAGAGTCTGTAGTCGACATTGAAATCGTTTTCAACGTAGTTTTATTTCTCTTTAAAATATTTTTTTGCAAACTAAATGTAATTACTTTGCTGGTTTTTGTGAGTTATTAATGTTACTTTGTTTGTGTTACATTTTATAAATAACACGTGTTACAAATAATAAAAAGTGCTGTTTCATTAATTTGTGTATAATTTTACTTTACAAATCTACGTTATAAATTGAAATAAAATCGATGATTACAATAAGCAGAATCGATGTGTGGTCGAGAGTTAACTTTTACACTCGATTCGAAACCAATAATGGAATTCCGACTCGTAATCCAATTAACTAGGGCGAGTAACGTTGCCGACATCCCCGGCTGTCTGTCGGCAGTACTGTGATGGTTTATTTGATTTTTCATCCACAAATACTATCTTCATTTGTTGTGAATGACGTAATTAAACTCGTGGTTATATAAAAAATCAATAATCTTGATTGATTGATTCTATAAAATTTAGGAAAGAATCAAAATTGAATAAAACACTTCAATATTATGAACCGTTTAAGGTACGGTACAGCTTACAATAAATATTTATTAAATCCAGTCGGATGCAGATTTTAATACTATAACTGTGGGTTTATGAGACCAATATCCCCGTTTGAAAAGTATGGTTGTTTCTGTTTTTTTTTTTTATGTTGATAACAATATTTTATACAGAGATTTGGCGTCGTGGCACAGAGGTCAAGCACTTGACTTGCAATCTGCAGGTCCTGGGTTTGAACCCCGCCATGTACCAATGGGTTTTTCGATTTCCGATTTACATATGTACATTTATCCGACGTTCTTACGGTGATGGAAAACATCGTGATGTCTTGATGATCATGCACATATCTGAGAAGAAATTCATAGATATGTGTGTAGTCAACCGACCCGCACTAGGCCAGCGTGGTAGACTATGGCCTAGTCTCCCGTAACTTAGGGTAGGCTCCGAGACCCACAGTGGGGACGTTTTGAGAGCTGATGATAGATGATACAGAAAGGTAAAAGTAAATGTGTCATTGTAACCATGGTATTTAGCAAATCATTGTGCTGTAGAAATGTAGATATTAAAACGTGTAGTTAATATAGCTGTTAAAATATTAATTGCAGGCAACTGTTCACAATTTACGACAACAGATCTGCAACTGGTGGACTCGAAGTAGGCGTTACTCCCGTGAATTGAAGCAAGACCAGTTCATATGTTACGATTGTTCCAGCAATCTGAAACAAAAGAAAAAACCTTACTTCGTAATTTATTATAACGAAATTATCTTTAGAATTGAGTAAAGGCAAAGTACTGCAACTACTACTAGAAAAGGAGTAAAGCAAGTTGTGATACTAATAATAATTAATATTATTTTTTGTTTTTAATTGTTTATCATTGTCATTGGAATCACTTACTGAGAGCACGAGGCCTTTCTTTATATTGAAGAACTGAAGTCCACTCAATGCCACCGTATCTCCGTGGACTTGATTAAGAAATCTTTGGATCTAGAACATTCTTTAATGAATAAATATACATCTTTGGATGTGATAACCTGCATGATAGACTTAAGCAGATATTTTTACGTTCTATTACTAAGATGAAGATGGAGCGTCGGTGGCTCAGGGGTTGACTTGACTTGTAATCTGCAGGTCCTGGGTTCGAATCCCGCGATGTTCCAATGTGTTTTTCGATTGTTGATTTACATGTGTACATTTATTCGACGTTCTTACGGTCAAGGAAAACATCGTGATGCAACCTGCACATATCTGAGAAGAAATTTAAGGATATGTATAAAGTCAACCAACCCGAATTGGGCCAGTGTGGTTGACTATGACCTAATCATCCATAACTTAGGGTAGTCTCCGAGTCCCTCGGTAGGGACGTATAGTGAGCTAATGATGATTACTAATATGTAAATTCATTATTAAAGGAAAGAACTCAATGCAATGCTTTCTGACCACTATACAATAGATAAACCTCTGTTGGCCAATCTCTGTATAGTTATCAAGCTTAGACATTATATACTTTTGTGTACTTACTATATAAGAAGAGAATAGAATAAAATTGAAAAGAACAGAAGAGAATAGACGTTAATGTCGTATAGAATACGTAATTAAAGATATAAGATGCTTATCAAATACCTCGACACTATATGCATTGTACGATACGTCGTATAAACTGGTTGCCGGCTTACGACTGGCAGCGTACACTTTAGCCGCTATCAGAGATACTGCCAATGAACGCATTACCAGAAATATGAACGAATACATGAAATATGTAGCTTGCTCGTAGCCGTGTAGGGGTCTGAAAAATTTATCGTAAACTACAATTTAATGTTTACATAATTCAAAGATCATTTCTTTTTTTGTCATGTCAAATCATCGTGTACAAACAGATTTTATTAAGATGTAATTGTAGTTATTACCTGATGTCCTGAGCACGACATAATGGTGTTGCTTTTATTCCATCCCTGTAATATTTTAAAGACACATTAAACCGTTCCAACTCAATCTTTATATATATAATTCTTCTGTGAGTGTGTATGTCACTGAACTTCTCTCAAACGACTGGACCGATTTTGATGAAATTTTTTGTGTGTGTTCAAGGGGATCTGGGAATGGTTTAGATTCACAGTTTTGTCCGCTGGACAATGTTTTTTTAATTAATTTTTAATTTATTAGTAGTTGTTGATTTTGGAATGTTTTACATTGGATCCGACAGACGGCTCTACCATCGCAGTGTCAAATTGTCAGACAACGTCTGTCGGGTCCGCTAGTGTACTTATATATTACTTTATAATATTCGTGTTATAGCCTAACTGCTGAAAATAAAGATAGATAAATATACGATTTTCCTTTTTGTGTTTCCTTATTAATTCAATTGTTGTGAACTAAACAACTTCATAAATCGAGAAGTATTATAATTTTATCTACATTCCTTGAATAATAAAATATGTCTTATAATTATCACGAAATTAAGGCACCTCAAAGTAGAAAACTTGAGTGGACAGGACACAAATATTGGGTTAACTTTGTGCGTTGTTCACCCAAAGCAATATGTGAACGAATACCAATGTGGGCTCTGTTATAGGATACGAAGTAAACCCGTTAATTACTTACGTGACTGAGGCCCCGAAGCTTCACAACTTCATTAAGTATCCCTTGAAGGATTATCTCTGAATAGATTAGAACTTGAGGCTAATAATAACAGAAATGGGACCCGGACGTCCTTATTGCATCTCATCAGTATGTTAATGGAGTTTGACACACGCTACCAATAGCCAATGTTGGCTAAAGGCAAAAACTTGTTTGTTGTTATTTGCCAAATACTTCATTTACACTCACTTCAAAGTGATAAATTATGTAAGATTAAGTGATTGTTATTGTTTATTAGCCCACAAACATTAAAGGCTTATCGGTGATGTTTTAAAAATGTTTAAGTCAAGTTAAATATTGTAGGGATGAATACATTCGACACACAGATGTACCAATCTTTAGACATAATCTTACTCAATTGTATTCAAGCAAACTTACTTTAAAGTATTATACAATTGTAGACAAATAAAGAAAAGGTTGTTTGCGAATGATATGAAGATGATAGCTCCAATAACTTCGTCAACACGCCGCACAAGAGACGCAGCTCGGTTGTAATCCTCACGGACTGTGCGCCAGAAATGTTGCGGCATATTCTAAAATATTAAATATTATTGTTAGTGGCTTCTAAAGTAACGTTTGTACATAAAAATGTTGTCTCTCTCATTATCTCTGAAAAAAATGAGCTAGCTATATTTTATGGGTGTTTTGGAAGCCTACTAACGCGGCATTTGTAATTTAGTAGTTGTCAATATTTAGGTCAATTTATTGTTGCGTTATCTTCATTTTGTGGTAAACTTTAGAAAACAAAATACATATTTAATGTAGGTTTCCGAGATCAAAATATCTGTATGAAACATATCGTCATCCCTCTAATTATCTTTGACAAAAAAGAGATAACAATATGATTTAATTGAAGATTGTGCTCTCGGAAACCCATGATTACTAAAATAAACAACATGATTAATAAATGAAGGTAGTATTAATATCCTTACTTTTCCACGAGCTTTAACAATTTTATCATTGACTTGCTCCAGTCTTGACGTTAAATAAAAACTGATGCAGATTATAAATAAATCCGCAAAACTCCACGTAAACGTCGACTGTATGTTGAAAACCTGAAATAACCAATTTCTTGTTAATGATAAAACAAATTAAAAAATACATGTAAATTTTTAATTAGGGTTATTAAAACCTTGATTTTTAAACGTAAAATAGTAATAAATGGACACATGTATTATTTTAAATACGTAATATTTATTTTAAAAAGTTAATTTTTTGCCATATTCGTTATTTCCATACTTGTTTCTTTACTATTTTATTCACCTGTGTTAGAAATCCAATAAAATGATTGTAAGGCACAAATGCATAGACCCAAGGGAAGCTGTGCTTTACAAAGGCCTCGTAGACATTCTTCTCTGGCTCGCAATCAATCACCGCAGCCAGTCCTGACAGATCTGAGAGGAAATGTTCAACTGCAAAACGTAGATTTGATTTTATACTTTCTATTCCATTACACTGCACAAAAGTAATTTTAGCTCACGGATTTATCTCTCAACTATATTAAAATCCGATTTTTTTTAATTTTGTTGTTTTATAAAAAATTTTTTGAGATGCGTTTTATTTATTTTTAATCTTACTTATATATTAGATGGATGGATTGTTAGAAGGTATCCAGACAGGGTGACAACTAGTTTTTTTTTAATAAATATTAAAATATGGTCAAATATATATATATATATTTGACCATTAAAAGATATAAGATTTATATAAGCCAGTTATAATGTATTTGAAATAGTATATTATGTTATTCTCTAAACTGTTTATGTTAACCTTTAGAAGACCGCATGATGATGGTGATGATGATGATGATGAAGCAGTTAACCCTCACCTAGTGCCAATGCTAAAACGAGTATGCAAGTCATGTTACATTTCTTGACCAATGAGATGTCGATGTTGGGGCTGGTCGCTTCTGTCATAGAGATTTGCAAGCAAAGTCTCGGCCATTTTGTTGCCATACGCAAAAATAATACAGTTGTTACAAAGTTTGAGCTATAGAAAGCTAGGGTTGCTGCAAATTAAAATAAATTAAATAATAAAAGAACTAAGGTTTTTGTGTGTCCATGAATATAATATCCTGGAATCTGCTGGTGGGAAAGATAGTAGACGATTCTCCTAAATCTATGTTGCGATTGATAATATTATAAATTCATTGATGACTCTACTATCTATGATCTCTCCAGTATCTTACATTATGATAGATAAAATCTACATAATCTGTGAAACTGTCAACATGCAGAAGAGGTGTCTTCTATAAAAAATATTATATGGTCAATTTGTTTAGAAGCGCGCCGCAGTAAACACCAAATGGGCTATAAAGAATAAAAGATGTTACTTCATCATACATTTGAGCTCTTGTCATGAATATCTTATTTTTCGCAGCTTTTTATTCAGTAAAATTACCCAACTATTATAAAAAATGTAATGTACCTTTATTATTTTAGATTAGAACTATTGATAAATATAATTAGTTTTTAAATTGAAAACAATAAGCCTATACCAATGTCTTCAACCTTTAATAACAGTCTGGGAATATGTGATGGCTCAATAGTTGTTTCCCGTTGGACCGTTGATCTGTAAGCTGATCAACGGTCCAACGGGAAACACCCAACTCATTCTCCAAAATCATACGAGTACATAAACATAATACGTTTTAATGTAATTATACACAGACCTGCCTGTTAGTGGGTAAATTATAAATTGAATTATATTTAAAACTTACTGTTAGATGATAATGACGTATCAGTATCTTTTAAATACTTTAATATAGAGAAGAATAACATTGAAGCTTGTCCCAATATAGAAAAGATCGTATACAAGCATCGAGCTGAACACAATTTAAACCTGAAAGAATATTTTAAAATTAATTTAATCATTTATAAAAAATAAAGATTTTTTTTAAATGTATTTTCATTTATAATTTAAATGAAAATGTAATTTAATTACTGTACTTACTTAATTTTAGTTGCGTCGACATCGAAAATTCCAATAACAGGATTAAGACCGAAGCATTGTCCTATTACCATTGGTAATTTCATTGCGGATTGAAACGTCGCTAATCTTTGTTTATATTGACTTCTAGATATAAAATCTTTTCGTAACATTTTGTTACGGTTACCTAGAATCGGAAAGGATAAACTGTGGGATATTTCACTAAAAGAAGTATGCGATTCCTATCAAAGAAGTTATTTAAACTTTTTTGCTACTCACTTCTTTTTAATTTATTTAATTCAATAAACATTTTTCTTTGTAATACTTTACTGTACGTTGTGAAACTTATTAAGCAGATGATTTTTTATTGATTTCGAATGGCTTCCGTTGAACTAATTGAAGTGCCATTCAGAGTAGATTATATCTGATATCTAAATAAAGAATCGCTCTTGATATTTGATTTGTTGCCTTGATTTTAGGGTGACTTTTGAATTTTACGAATAACAAAAAATATTAACCTATTTTTGTACAAATACATAGCACAGTATTAATTAAATTTAAAAAATAAAATTCTCACGATCCTACATGTCTAATAATTTTCATAATCAATTTTATTTTTAAATTGATAGTTTTCGTAAACGAAACTTATTTTACTATTCCTCGTTGCGTTGTCTCTAGTAATATTTTTATTAAATTTTGCATAAAACTTACCAAATTAAATATTGAATTTTAATTTATTAATAGCTATTGTAAATTTTAAACTTACTTCGTAATACGTCCACAATCAGAATGTTGGAATGTCCGTTGAAAAGTCTTCTTTCAGCATATACTGCGATACTTATTTACCGCGGGTTTCTGAGACCAAAATATCTGTATGTTTTATATGTCATGCCTGTCATTAACATTAACAAAACAAAGATAACAAATTTTAAACGTGGATTTTGACTTCAGAAGCCCGCGTTTTTGCTGAATCAACACGTCAACACATTGACGTTTCTGATATTTAACTGCTTGATATTTTTGCAAGGAGCTTATAAAAATATTAGTTTGCGGTTACATTTCTATAACCTCTAGTGCAGCATATGTTTTGTTGGTACTTCGGAAATTTACTTGAAATTCATCGTTTGAAATTATTTCCCATCCATGATATATTTTTCCACTAGGATAGTAATAGAAATAAATCCTATAAAGTTAATTATAATGGTTTTAAGTTATACAAAGCTTGATTATTAATGGAAATCGATATGATATTTGCCATTCTTCCTTTTATCTCTTTTTTATATTATTAGGTAGCAAATTAGAAAACGGCCACCTGAATTCGACTAAATGGCGAAGCGATCTCTATCAGTCTCATATCAGAATCATCCCTTTCTTGCATATATCCTCTGTCTCACAATCTATTGCATACGTCCTTATCTTCTGTTCAAATTCAATCTCTGAAAGTTCATTTATGGATAAAAACTTTATAGGTCCGTGTTTGTTTACACCGACCCGATTTCCGGGTTCAAAAGATAGTCGCCAGTTAATATTGATTTATTTTGCAGCTTGTATATGTGACCCTCCTCTTTGTTGTTAGACGAGGAAAGGGTTGGTCTGAATTCTTTATGCGTTGGTAAATATTTACGGCCCAGTTTATTATATCGTAATAGTAAATCACGTATAAACTATATTTTAGTTATCTGTAGTTTTATAATAAAGGAGGGTTTCACAGGTAAGTATTTGAGGTTATAGTTTTAATCTACTCAATTTGTAGGGATTTATTGGCAGTTGTCAACAATTACAACAAAACCTACTGTAGGTTTCTGACACTAAAATCTCTGTATAAAATATATTGTCATCCCTGTCTTTCATCTTTGACAAACAGAGATAACGATATGTTTTAAACGAGAATTTTGGTTTCAGAAATCGACGGTAAATAATAGTTCTAAACAGAGATATATGATTGAAATAAAATAATATTATGTCTAATTTTAGTTTATTTTTTTTTACATTTTATTCGAAACTTTTTCAACCAGTTACTTTTTAATTCCATATTTTTTTTTTTTATAAGAGAAGGGGCCAAACAAGCGGCGGGAACACCGAGGTGATCAACGACACCCATGGACATCTGCAACACCAGAGGAACTGGAGATGTGTTGCCGGCCTTTAAAATATTATATTTCAGCGTTGTGTTTTGTCTCCGTATATATTCAAATTAAATTGCAACAAAACTAATTCATACGTAAAAAGTGTTCCAACGACCTGAAAACAATATTTTTTTTATTATTTTTAATTTTACCCCCTCATTCCTTATTACATGTACAAAAAAGCTTTATTTTTTTTAATAATTATGACTTACATATTTTTAAGTTTAAAATCAGACGTTAGATTTTTTGGCCTACTTTTTCAAAATATATTTACCTTGAGCAAAGTACTTCTAGTGACATAAAAGTAGACACCACTCAACGCGGTCGTCGTATAACGAATCTGACGAATGAATCTTTGAATCTGAGAACAGTTTAATTGATAGATAAAATTTCAAACATTTTTACAAAAAAAAATCTGATTTACTCTCTAATTTGAAATACAGGATTTGGAGTTGAATACGGACATTTACAATTCAATTTTAGAGAATAAATTTGGTTTGATGTCAAGTTGATAGAGTTAAGGCGACGAACGATCGATAAACGAATCGATTCCGGATTTAAGTTTAAAATAATACAATTTGATTTCTAAATTAGATAACAAATTATAAAAGTTCAGATTCTAAAATTAAAAAACTAACATTGCTTCTATCAGTAAACAACTCTAGTTAGTAACTGCAATGTTGTTGTATAAATAACACAAGTTTCGTCAACTCACCTCGAGCGTGTACTCAGATGCGGGAACATATCCAACAACAAACAGCGGCTCCTGTGCCGCCCTGTGTACGTTCGCCGCGAGCAAACACATCACACTAGCTCTCGTCATCAGAAACACGAACGAGTAAATATAGTATGTTAAATGTAATGCACTGTGAAAATATATCAAAATTAATATATACCTTTGATAACGAAGAAAATATGACAAACCCGCAATGGGTTTATAGCCACTTTTGTTGTAAACTAGCTGTCGCCCGCTACTCCGTCCGCGTGGGATTAAAAATAGATGTTGGCCGATTCTCAGACCTACTCAATATGCTCACAAAATTTCATGAGAATCGGTCAAGCCATTTCGGAGGAGTATGAGAACGAAAATTGTGACACGAGAATTTTATATATGTGTGAAGTCAACCAACTCGCACTTGGCCAGCGTGGTTGACTATGGCCTAGTCACCGCTTACTTAGAGGAGGCTCCAATCCCCTCTGTGGGGACATATAGTGAGCTAATGATGAAGACCCGTCGTAGTCAAGGCACCTTAAATCGAATCGTCAACGCGCGTCGTCTAATCGGTTCGGATATACAGTGTATTGCGTAAGTTTCTTAGTGACAAAAAATAGATTCAATTTCAATTGTTACTCACGATATAGATTTCTTATTTCCTCCATCATTACCCAATGGTAAGCCGTTTCTGAAATTAAAAAAAAATATGACACTTTGTATGTACATATCTGCCATACTTTTATCCAACATTGATATAATCTTTTGCTTCTGAAATATGTTACCCGTATTCAGGAATAACAATGTCGTAGGCTATTACGCTACGTCGTCAGCCTACTGCGCTACGTCGTAGAATGTACCTTGTCCATTGCCCCTTAAGTTTAATCAAAAAACAGGGTTTTGTAATATAAAGTGAGCTTAATATCATTACATCAAAGTATTGAATAACTGCAACGAGATGAAGAACAGGTTTGTGAAGAATGACAGCAGCACCAGGTAACAAAATCTTGAATCAACTTCTTTAACCAAAGCCACTAAATCAGAGTAGAGCAGTCTTATTTCTTCCCAACGAACTGATTTCTATGTACAAAAAGAGAACATATTAATGACTTTTCCACTTAGCGTAAATTAATGATTAATTAGCAGTCGCTTAGTGTTGACCTTACTAATATTATAAATGCAATTGTTTAGATGGATGGATGGATGTTTGAAGGTATCTCGAGGACGGTTTAAAGGATCGCGATGAAATTTGGCAGGGATGTAGAACATAGTCTGGGAGAAGTCATATATAACTCAGTTTTATCTTAATTCCGCGCGGACGGAGTCGCTGGCGAGAGCAAGTTTTATAAATAAATACTTAATTAAACTAATTGAAAACGTACCGATTTTTCATTGTCATAAATAATTTTATTTAAATCTTGCAAATATGATATCAAATAAATACTTATACACATTATCATTACATCAGTAACGTTCCATAGAAATGTTGCTTGCAAATTTACTACCTGAAATTAAATATAATCATTATATTACTTGACAACTTAAAAACAAAAAAAAACCCAAGCTGACGACGTCGCGGTCAAAAGGTATTTGTCAATAGTAATAGTAATATTAGTAGTCTTCTATTAAAATTATCTTACCACAAATGGTACAGCTTTCCATAGACTGTAACTGGTAATATTAAAAATAAAAGGCATTGAAGTTTTATAGTATTTTTCAAGAACTTCATTGTTTATTTGGCAACTTTTTAATTCACCCTTTGCCATATATAATTTTGACATAATTGATAATATGTGTTCAACTGCAAAATACAATTTTTTTAAGTAGGAAAGCGGTTAAATAGTGTACTAAGACAGTATTAGTTCATTTAAATAAAAACAAAAAACTCGCTGTATCTCTATGACACTCGGAGGAAAAGAATCGAATGATACCTAAGTCATTAAAATCAGTTCAGTTGCTTAGGCTCTAGGGCCTAGAAATTAGGCCGTCAGTCATCATGAAAACTTTCATGCGAATAACATTACCTTCAGTTGTCAATCGGGTGTTAATTTCTTTGGTATTTATTTTATTTTTATTCCAACTCACAAAAGATACATACCTACAGCCAGACACATAACAATATAAGCAATACTTTTGTATGATTTATGTGATCGTCGTATTCCAATTAAAATTGTTTCAATTTTTAAAGACGCTTTAATAAGATTTGCCCAATTTTTAGATAGTTTAATTAATAACATTGCTGTTATCAATCCGGTCGAATAAAATATAAAATTACCTGTAAAAAATATTTTGGATTCAACATGTTACACTGCTTTTGTGCACATACATACATTTTTTCTATTAGGTGTTAAGGTGCCATTTAAAATCGCCAAAATATTGAAGTGGATTACAGATGCGTTGCCTACTTTAAATTGACAGAAGAAATTACTTTTAATCGCATACAAATTTATTTACCCTTTAATACATACTATCCTCCGCCAAATCCATCTCCCCTTCCCATCCCTTCCTTATAAGGTAAGGGTGGGAAGGGGAAAAGGACCTAAATAAGGCCTTCGTCACGTATACTTTTTAGGCGCATCGCGGAATTTTTTCCACTTGACTCTTGTGGTCCTGGTATTTCACCCGTGAAGCTGGCAACATCGTCATTGTCCAACAGATGTTGTTGTTCCTGGCTCTACTACTGTTGATACATACATGTCAGACGGGTGAAAATAAAGTGTAAATATTATTACTTACTTGAAGTTTGTAGACTATAAGAATAACTAAGAAAAGAGATCAAACTCAATGACGTAGTTACAATCTGACCGAGGACAGAAACAACATGAAATACGATGTAAGGGAAGTTCCGACTGCATCTGTTAGGATAAATATTAATTATGTTAATTAATGACCTCGGCATGCAATCCTAAGGAAAGAATAAAAAACCTTTTATTACATATTTTTAGATATCAAATCTGTAGCAACACATAGCAACTTAACAAAATATCATCAAAATCTGCCCAGTGTTTAGGATCGCATAGGACAAAAATCCAACTTTGTTATTTATCTATATAGAAGTCATTCTTTATGACTTGTTATCAAATTAAGCAATAAATATGTAATACAAAAAAGCTTAATTTACCTTACTTTAGATATTGTTGACTCGGAAAGACCATCGACTGGAAAGAATCCCGACCATCGACACAATCTCATTGGTTCACGCAAAACACGTTGCAGTTCAGATAAATTTTTCTTACGTAATTTATTATTTACCATATTTATTAAAAATATAAGGATTTATAAAAAAGATGCAGACAACAAATTAGAGAATATTTAATTTTGTAAAGATCTTGTAAAAAAAATTCTGAAAAAATATTTGTAAATTTCAGATTTTGTATTGGGAAAGCTGACCCCACCACCTTGTGGGATGCAAACTAGGGAGAGAGAGAGAGAGAGAGAAAGATTTTGTATTGATGAATATTTTCAAAAGTGTAACATTCGATGTAACGTATTGGTTATATCATTCTGTATACAACATAAAAAACTCCCGTCATTTTTATACGTCTGTTATATTTTTTATATTGTCACTTCCATTATTCATCAATCATTGTTATTTCAATATTTGGTTAGGTTTTGGTCATTTTTTTTCGTTTATCGTTGCTTCGATATAATAAAATGATAATTTACTTTGCCTTAAGTAAACTTGTTACCTAATATGGCAGGTTAGACATTTGACAAGTGAAATATAAGTTATATAAAGATGGTATAAAATATTGCGGGAAAAAGATTAATGTTTATCTAGATAAACATGTTCACAACATTTTTATATAAAAACAAAAGTACATAACATTATTATGTTACATATTTTAAGCGAAATATAATAATAAATAATAAACGAAAAATGTCTTTATTCATCACTGTCTGTGATGACTGCATTCGCGTAAATTAAAAAAAAAACAAATTAGTCGCCTTCGTATTATTGCAGACTATGTTCTACATCTATGACAAATATATGCGAAGTCCGTTTGTAAGTCGATTTAAAAATATCTTATAAAAAAACTTTTAAATTTACAATATTACTATGTTGAATTAAAAGTAACATACTTATTGCCTCTTATTATATATTCTATCAATATTTCAATGAAAGGGATGTAAATATTATGTTACTTAATAAGCATCCTAGGTGTTCTTCCAGACTATGTTCTACAACTGTAACGTACAAACATTCATCCATCCATCCATCTAAACATTCGCCTTTATAACATTATAGTAAGATATAAGTATTTCGAATGTAGTATCTCTCAGTAACAATGTTTGTTTAACAAATGATAAGAACAACTAAAATCTAAACATCTTTTGTGACAGAAAACATACAAGCGGTATTTAGATTTTCTGATATTCTCTTAGTAAAGTATATAAAACCTTACGATAATGCCGAGGTAGTATTGTAACTGATAAAGTCATTTTACAATATAAAAGATAAAGGGACAAAGGAATTAAACGAATGTCAAAGGCTTTATTATAATTATTAAGTATTTTTCTTTAGTAATATTATAATTTTAATTCATTTTATTTTTATAAATTATTTGGCGATTTTATTATAAATGTACTATGTTTAACAGTGTTAGAGCCCGCTTTAACATCTTCGCACGAATTGGCCCGGCTCGCCCGATGAAATACCACCACCACACAGAAGACAGGTGTCAAGTGGAAGCAATTCCGCGTTTCGTCTGATGAGTGTGCGTCCCGGAGGCCTTATTTAGTCCTACTTCCCTTCCCATCCCTTTTCTTATAAGGATAGAATATTAAGTGGAAGTTGACTTTCCGGATGAGAGGATGCATGGAAAGGGAAAATACTTTCTTTCTGTGCATCCTCTCCTCCGTCGATAAAAGGAAGGCAACGCATATGCAAGTGCGTGTGTCTATGGGCAACGGTCACTTCGCTATTTTAGCGATTTCAGGTGGCCGCTCGCTCGTTTGCCGCCTTATGATATAAAAAAAATGTGTATTTGAAACTTGTATAAACTAGTTAACATTAGAAAATTAGTTTTGTGTATACTCAACTTCTATTCAAAGTCAGTCAGCAAAGACTTTGAGGTAGGTCGAGATGTTTACGATGTTTACCTGCAAGGACATCTTGCCCTACGGCAACTAACTGTGTAGTTAATTTGGAGTTACGCTTTTGGTGGTTACATTGTATTTATAGTATAACATATGTATAGTGGTAGGAAGAAAAGCCGGTGTACTAGCGCAACACTAGCTTTGCTAAAATGTCGACGTTTATATCCCCTCACTAATCATTGTGGCACTTTATTTGCTAACGAAAGCGCGCCATTCGCGCCAAAAGGATTCTAACTAATAAAGTGTGAAATTAGATAAAATTATAAGGCTTAAAATTGATATTAATAACTATTTACAGACAGATAGACAGTACGTTTACTTTTAAAGTAGGTTCTATATAGTTTCTTTACTAGACATTAAGGACCTAACCATAAGAATATGTGCAGAAGAGATAATTTTTGGCCTATGGACAAATTATCTTCATGAATAAAATTAAATTTATTATTATTTAGCTATTTCTTCAGTAATATTTTCCTTAATGACATCTAAGCCTTAACTCTATCTAAAACAGGTTTAGTTAGTAGTACTATCTCTGTCAATTTTAAGTGGGTTATGTTAACCTAGCCTAACCTAGCTTGAGCATAGATTGATTTGGTTCTTGTCTACTTACAATGTAAACTAACAATCTGAATAAAAGGTCTTCATTTGTTATTCAAGTTTGGTACAATGGTTAAGGTAGAGCTTTTGAACTGTAGCTTGGATTTATTACGTCGGAAAAGGAAACCTTTTGTTAGTCGCAGTTACGTTGATATTGCAGGTAGAGAGCTTGTTTCTAACTGAACCTTGTTATTGTGTCGGCTATTTTCAACTGTAGCTAACTAAACGTAACATTGTTACTTGCGTTTCATTTGCCGCTGCGACGGAATTATATGACAGTACAATTTCTCTTTGAGTTTAATGCTCATTTTGATTATAGTTAATTTTCGTAAATAATATTATAGAGCTATGTAGAGAATATGCTTGACTATGGCCTAATCACCCTTAATTTAGGGTAGGCTCCGAGCAACTCGGTGGGTACGTATAGTGAGCTGATGATGACGATGATGATGATGATGTAGAGAATATAATTATTGGTGGAAAAATAATTTCAGATTTTAATTTGTCGTTAACATCACGTACACTTTACATCTGAAGAATATTAACGTATCTTTTACACGTTGAGATAAATTAAATTAATTCTGATTTATAATTGATTTAGTTTCAGTCATACGAAATTTTACTAGGGAAATCTTTTAGACACCTAGACTAGGTGCCCAACTCATTCTTAAGGTTTCACGTACCATCTCTGTAATGAATTGGGTAAATCATAGTAAAGTATTATTAGCAATTGTAAAAAAAATATGCTAAAAACTAGTTAAAATGTTTTGGTAAATTTTAAGGTTTTTGTTTATAAGTAGAAGAGAGAATAAACAAAAAGTGAGAAACGATGGTTGTGTTAGAAAAAGTATAATCCTATTAAATCTTCCGAGATTGCGGTGAGAGTAAGAAAATGTAAATTTCGCTAAAAGATAAGGTGATAGCGTCGCGGCAAAGGGCAATTTACTCTTAATTAAGCTCGGATGTGTTTTATATTAACCTCTAACCGGGTCAAATAGTTATTGAGTTAAATTATATTTAACTTTCATCGCTTGCTACATCAACATTAAGACTAGAAAGTTTTAAATAAATGTAAAGGGTGTTCATGAATTAAATTAATAAATTCAAGATATTGTTAGATTGTTAAAAAATTGTCGTGGGAGATATTGTTTAACGTAAATTAATCCGATGTCAACAACAGCTAGTTTAAATCCTGTCGGGAACCTGTCCAATTGCTCAAACTCAAGGGTATTAGTTGGTGCCGATACCGGACTAATTTATGTATGTGTTTGCGGTTTTCATTTGGTTCAAGTAATTCCTTCAATAAATTAAGGTCCACATGAGTGGGATCAGGCCAGGAAGATGAAGAACTTGCTTATCTTATAAATTATCTTTGCCAAGAGTTTAGTGGCCAGTACTTAGTTAACGCTAATCAACGTCGTGTAAGGAGTTCTCATTCACAGTCTTATTGCAGCGTAGTCTTCATTTAGCAGCACTTCGCTTGTCAAATTAAGTACGTTGTTTTGTGAATATTGATTTAGCTATGCGCGCGTAAATTTATATTAGCTTTCAAAAATCTTTAAGTACACGCTTAGATTCTAGATTTTTTTTTATATTAGAAATGAATTCCTTTGATTGAAACTCGTATCTCGTGTCAGTTTATAAAATATCTGTCAGCATTTTATACGTTTAGGTAATTTGTCTATTAAAAAAATTAAGGCGTTTCAGTTTTTTTTATAAAATCTAATGGAATTCCTATTTTTAATAAAACTTCTTTTTTATATTAAGGGTCAAAGGGTAACAAATACTACAGTAGTATGTCATTCCGCGTTTTATTCCAGTACAATTCAAACAATAAATACGAAGTCATTTCAGCAGCATTTAACAAGGCTTTCAAGAAACATATATTAGCGGTCGCAACAGCAGCGTCAGTTTTGCCGCAAATATATTAATGTCACCGTAAAATTGTAAACAACGGTCGTTTATAACCGGACTTATACGAGTATACAGAGTGTACATTCTTAAAATCGTGAGTTGTACGAAGAATATTGATTAGGCGTTTTTCTCGATGGTTTATAATCTTACGATATTACCCCAGGCTTTGGTTTTAAAGGCATGTGGTAATTCTAACGGCATATTACAATTAATAACAAATATTACATTATCAATCATTTCTTTTCTGTGATTAAACATAATTATAAAATTACATTATTTATAGTTTTAAGATGACATAGACACATCTCTCTGAACGCTCGTAGGCGCCATTAGACCTGCCAATCAATGTCTCTTCCAGATTTCTAGACAAATTTAAGTCTTATTTTATTAGAGTTTTTTAAACGAATTAATCGTCTGGTTAAAAAGTACATCCATTCTGTGGTTATCGTTTAACATTGTTAATTCAAAAAAAATGTTCATTCGTGCTTTATAAGTATCATTTTAATTCCGGTCAAAAAGGTACTCTTATCCAATACCAACTTTTATCTTATAAGTGTATATTTCTGTTAACAGTTTTGAAAAATGATTGCAACATTTTATCTTCAAAATAGATACGTATAATTTTCATTGAACAAATTTTATGTTGTGTCATTTTTATTACGTGACGGCGAAAATAGTTTACGTTTAAAGTGATATACGATGCAGCTATATTTCTTCGTTCTCTATCATCATTTGTTTTGTTTAATCTTTAAACAACTAATGAAACGAGTTCAAAATAAAAAGTCATCGTCAGCTCACTATACGTCCCCACTGAGGGGCTCGGAGCCTACCCTAAGTTAGGGGCGACTAGGCCATAGTCTACCACGCTGGCAAGTTGTTGTTGTTGTTGTTGGTTGACTTCACACATATCTTTGAATTTCTCCTCAGATATGTGCAGGTTGGATCACGATGTTTTTCTTCACCGAAAGAACGTCGGATAAATTTTAAAATACGAAAACAAAGAAAAAAACAACTTTTTATTTCTTCTTTAATATTCTTTAAAAGTCATTTAAATAAATGTATTTAGTTTAGAGTTGTTTTCTGTGATTAAAATTTCTATATAAAACATATCGTCATCCCTGTCATTACCTTTGACAAAACAGAGATAACAATATGTTTTAGACTGGGATGTTGGTCTCAGAAACCCCAAGATGGACTACCATAAAACCAGGTAAATTTTATGGCTACAATTAATTTTGTTCCCTATTTTAAAGACTTGTAGGTAAAGTTTAGATAAATATTTATATTTACGGAAAGGATATTGTATAAATTGAATGAAATTGTCACTGTAACTGTCAATCCACAAAAATATTTCAACTAAAATAAACATCGATCGTGATTGAAAGGTTAATAGTGCTTTAACATTTTTTTCTGTACTGTACTAACAAATTGATTTTTATTTGATGCCAACAAAACAGTGGACTTGGTCATTTCATGTGTAGAAAAACGATTCAAAGCCATGAAGACTTCAGTGAATATGAAAATTAATAAACCTAATATTAACAGTAAGATTGAATTAATCGTGACAAAGTTTATTAAAAACCTCACGATAATTACCATTGTTTTACCGTGGGTTTCTGAAACGAAAAACCGCAAAATTCATTGTTATTTTATGTCAAAAATCGACAGAATACCAATGGTATAGAAATTAAAAAACAAAAGTTTAACATGACATGTGATAAGGAGGGAAGAATCGTATGTTAACAATCGAACTATAATTATAAGTGTGGTTACACTGGTAGAGGTAGACCTATGAAGGGATGGATGGATTGCGTGAAAGGTGACATGATCAAAAGTGGACTGACGACAGAGATGACGGAAGATAGATCGATATGGCGGACAGAAACCTGATGTGCCGACCTACGTACTCACGTAACCTGACCGTGACCTACTCGGGTTAAGATTAGGGAGATGATGATGATCATTAAATGTTATAGGTACTTAATTAAAAATTATAAATCTTTGAAAAACGTTTATCTTATTTTTTTAATCTTATTTCAGGTCGTACAATATCCGATTTGTATAAAGAGTTAGAGAAAATAGAAAGAGAAAGTGACTTATTCGATAGGTTAGTAATTAAACGTAACTACACTGGATCATTTATTTATTTATTTTAATTTTATTTATTTATTTATTTCCATGGTGTGCCTTATGGAGCTGTTTAAAGGTAAAGTGACTATTTAATACTTCTTTATTTATAGAGATGAAAACAACGCTCAAGTCACAATTAACAATGAAAATTTAATCAATGGTTAGTAAAAATAATTATATAATTTTTTTTTATTCATGTATTTTTAATTAATATTGTATTGTTTTATTAAGGAACAAATGAAAATAAGGTAAACCAAATATCTGTTCTGCAAGGGTGCTTAAAATATTTCTACATAGTGAGTCAGTTGCTAGGATTGTACCCTATAACGGGATTTCTTGAGAAGGATGTCATGAAAATAAGGTATTTTTTATCATAAATTCTATGGCTGTAAAAAGGGCAATGTATTTCTTTACCAATTAGTAACTGTGCCAAGCTGCTCTCCAATTAAATACATACATTTTTAGTGAGAAATTCAGTAAATACTCAAGTTCTTGTTTTGGAGTTAGTAAAACTTTAAATTTAATAGACCTAAACCTAATTTACCTTGGATTAAGCGTAGTACATTAACATGTTTTCTTCTTAATTCTAGGCTGTAAAAGGCTTTCAGGGTTGTGGCTAAAAGCTTTGAAATGTGATACATAATATTTAGAAATAGTTTGTTTATTTAAAACATTGTAATGTGTTTTCAGATTTTCCTTTTTGACATGGAAGTCACTATACAGTCTTATAATTTGTTCTTTTCAAATTATAACCGTCCTTATATGTTTTTATAGATTAATTCTTAATTTTCGTCTCGCTACTGTAGGTAAGAGCTTAACAATTTTATACCCTTACTTTAATCAATAAAGATTGACTTTAATTTGTTCTTAAATATATATGAAAAAAATGTAAACTTATTCTGCATTTATCAAGAAAATTTAGTCATAAAAAATATGTTAAATTTTCAGTATTCGCATTTTATTATACCTCTACCTGTATGACAACAATTTTATTTCTTATCATCGCTTCAAAATGGCCAGGATTAATGCTTAAGTTAAATCAATCAAGACTCGAGGAATACATAGACAATTGTATTAAGAAAAAATGTACCGTTATTTCTCTAAGCTTTTTGGCCATATGCATAGGTAAGCAACAAAGTATACTTATTGCATTTTGTGATAATATGTAATGAATTAGCCTGTATTCGTTCGGGCGCTTTTTCTTGCTGCGTTAAAACTCGACGTGTACGGCTCTCAAGCGATGTAATGCTTTAAAATCACTCTCTGAAGGAATTGTATTTGTTCTACTTAAACATATTTTAAAACAGCGTAATAAAGAACTACTGCGAATTAAGGCTTGGCTTACTAAGCAATTGGTATAACTAAGCCTTTTACTATGGAAGATTTTTAGTTAGCGATGAATTCGAACTCAAGAATGAACAAAGTAAAAGTATGCCGTGTGTTTTCTATTCTTAAATACTCGTAAGAAAACATATATTTAGATGTCTCAATTTTTTCAACGTAAATAAAAGGGATAACTAAATAGATTCATATAAAAAAAACTCAAGATTTTTTTCTACAGTATTGCAAGTGCTACGAGCAATTGGCAAATTAAATGAAGTAATGAATTGCAATACAACAGCTAAAGACATGTTAAAAACTTACATAGAAATTACTAGTCCATGGATTTTCGAACTAAATATGCCGTATAATTTATTCACGTTGATAATATTAGGAGTAAGTAAATTTAATATGTTTTTAAAGAAAAAAAAATATTCCTATATTTTATTTAGAGCGTCGGTGGCTCAGGGGTCGGGCACTTAACTTGCAATCTGCAGGTCCTGGGTTCGAATCCCGCCATGTACCAATGTGTTTTTCGATTTCCGATTTACATATGTACATTTATCCGACGTTCTTACGGTGGAAGAAAACATCGTGGTGCAAGCTGCACATATCTGAGAAGAAATTCAAAGATATGTGTGAAGGTAACCATCCCGCACTGGGCCATGGTGGTTGAATATGGTCTAATCACCCTTAACTTAGGTAGGCTTCGAACCTCTCGGTGGGGACCTATAGTGAGCAGATGATGATATTTTATTTGTAATTTTATTTCCCTAATTTATTATTGAAATTAGAATTAATGAAACTTTAATAATATAATCTGTCAACATTTTTTTTTAATCTACGTATCTATGTTATATATTATGGTAAATCAAATTATTTTATTGTGTCATTTAATATTTTCAGGTGCTGAATATAACAACATTAATGATTTGGTTCTTTAGCGATATATTCATTGTTTGTATTAGTTTGTTCTTAGCTTCAATATTACGTAAAATAAACGATAAAGTTATATCTTCAGAGGACAAAGTAAGTATAAAGAGAACATTGTAAAATTGTCTGCACTGAAATATAATCGGTATATATTTTTATTGAAATTATAAATTTCAGTTGTCACTCCTTGTCTTTTCATTTACAAAATCTTTTGAGGTTATGTTTTTTTTTAATTTAAATTGTAGTTAATATGAGTTATTCGGGCTGTTACGGTAGCCTATGACATATTCCAGAGAGTAACCTATTTATATTACAAATTTCATCCAGATCCGTTTATCCGTTCTAGAGTTAGTAGCAACAAACAATTAGACATCAATCCAAACATTCAGATTATTAGTCTTAACATAATAATCATAATAGTAGTAAGATAATTGATATTTATTATTAAAATAATAATATAAGTAAGATATGATTAGTAATAAATAAGATTTAATTTGTTCTGTAGATATTACCTTCGAATTATTGGCGTAATTTGCGGGAAGATTATAATCGTATTACAACTTTGATCCGATCCTTTGATGACGTCATTAACAGCCTTATATTTTCATCATTCGCTAACAGTTTATTCTTCATATGTCTACAACTATATTATATACTTTCGTAAGTTTTTATTTACTTCATAATATTTACAGTAATTACAGTAAAAGTAGCACAATCATTTGTTTTATACAAAACATGTAAATATAAAGGAGCACTTTTAAATTACTTTATTAAAGTTATTAATTTGTAGTCGTCATAACGTTATAGCAAAGTTGACCGAAGTTAAAATACTTAGGTTTGTTGACGATTTTTTTCAGAAAAGGAGTAAACACATATTTTACAGTTGTAAACGGTCCTTGCCCAAATATTATTCAAGGGTAAGATGTATTAATATAATTTATCAATAGATTTCCTAATACTTGTCATCTTACATACAATTGACATCTGAATAAAAATGTCTTAAGAAACATTAGACAGATTCGATTAAAAAAAAATTGTAAACATATTTGGTCAAAGACTAAAGAATATAATAGACTGATTGTAGCTAATAAGTATATTTATTTCGTCTTTTAATTTGCACTTTATTTTCTTAATATTTTGTCTTTATATTGAGTACTATATATTATTATTTATTGAGTTTTATTTCCAGTCCTTTCAACGGTTTCGAGCACAGCGCTTACATATTGTCGTTAATAATTTTCCTGATCCTGAAATTTATATTTCTTACTCTATGTATCGCGGAAATCAATTCTGCTTCTATTACAACTGCCCCTTCACTTTATAAGATACGATCATCTATATTTTGCAAAGAAGTAAGTACCTTTTAATTACAATATTTATAATCTATGGTCACTGGAAAAGATTGCTTGTGACTGGTGATTTTTACCACTGCGCAACTATGATGGTAACGAAAAGTGAGGTAGAGCAATCAACCATGCAGTACTGCAATTATTGGAACGCTTACGGTGAGACAGAACACGACTGTTTTGACAGTACACATGCGTTAAAACAATTGCAGTACTGCACTGTCCACTGCTATGTCTTTCTATTTTTGCCTGCTGTTAATATTGACAAAGTTGACTGAACCTAACAATTGGTGTGTGAAAATTATTTTTCAAATCGTTGTCAGGAATTTTAAATTAGCTTGTGGATCATAAGCTTCGTGTTTCTTTTGTGTTAAAGTCTGGATATGAAGTAGTTGAATACAGATAAGATTAATATATTATTTATACATTTTTTTTAGGTTCAAAGATTCATCGAACAATTACACGGACAAACTGTTGCTTTGAGTGGTCTAAAGTGTTTCCATGTAACTCGAGAATTAGTTTTTGCAGTAAGTGTAACCAATCATAATTAAATAAATTAATATTTAAAAGTATAATGTAAATTTTGATAACAATTTCAGATGTTTTCAACTATTATTACGTACGAGTTTATGTTGTTTCAATTTAACAGTGACCCGTTTAGATTATTTTAAGAAATTAATTTTATTGTTTGAAGAAAATGATATCTAAATCTAAAGATGAACGTGTATTCAATAAGCTCTCATTAAGCAAGATACTTCTATAGGAAATGATTATATAAAAGTTATTTACTTAGTATTGTCATAAATTATATTATAAGTTACTTAAAATGTACAGTTATCAAATTAAATACAAAATCTGGATGACCATTGCTCGGTATTTTTTTAAATTGTGTTTTTTGGAGATTATATAATATAATATTTAAGTACGAATTACTAATAAAATGATGAAATATAAATAATATTTTTCAATCTTACCGATAGAAAAAGTTAAGTTTATGTTTAAGTTGATTATCGATAAAACAAGAATAAAATGACATTTTCTAAAAATGATTCCTAGCTAGATCGAATTATCGCCCCGAAACCCCGTATATACTAAATTTTATGAAAATCGTTGGAGCCGATTCCGAGATTCCAATTATAAATATATATATTAAAAATTTGTATAAGAATTGCTCATTTAAAGATATAAGATTTAACACTTGTTTTAATTATTTTGTTGTCTTGTATCTCTATTATGTGATCTTGTTGTTTAATATTTCGTAAATATATCCTTTAGTTCATTGGCATAAAGAATTGATTGCTCTTAAAACATCGACTTGGGTGGACCATTTGAAGTACTGAAACGATAAACATTATATACAGCGTGTCCCAAAATTCAACTATGAGCCGGTGTATGGCCAGGTCGAAAACTACATGGTGAAAAATAAATCCATTTTTTTTGTTTCATACTTACATTAAGTTTTTTAAATTTTATTTAGGTACTATATCATTTTTTTTCAATAAGATCTGATGGTGACTTTACTTAAAAAAAATCAAGATTTATATATATTAACTCTCTGACCTCCAAAAATGTTTTCTACTTGCCTGAATCCCATACAAAAGTAATAATGTTTTTTGTTTACCTAAGTTTTCTTTACAAATAGATCTTCGGGCATGACACTCGTTGACGAAGAACTGATATCCTCTTTTGTATCGACTGAACATCATACACACTGGTTCTTTATCAACTGCGGGCAGATCTTCGCACACTGAATCACAATCTTCAAAAAGTAACACCCCCTGTAAACAAACAACTACTAAATCTATCATAAAATTCTTAAGGTCAAAACCTATTAAAAAACTTGGGCCACTGTTTAAAGGGTGATCTAAAAAAATTTTCCGATCGACGTCAAGAATCGATATCGATAGTAAAGACGACGGAAAATACTGAGGATGGAAAGAGCGGTTGGATTAAGATAAATTTTGGAATATTATATTATAAAATAAAAAGGGGAAATGAAAATTTAAAATAGAATAACGAAATGAAAAGATCAGCACGCACTGAACATATACAGAATACAGAAAAAGGGAGAAAGAATTCCAAATACAAAAATATTAAAATTATGAATAAAAAACATATAAAAATGTTCCGTATCCGTCGGCAACAGATAGTTTGACTAATCAATCAGCCCTATATAAATACTAACTAGTAAGTCCCAAATTTAATAAAACTCGGATATACATAATATGACATAAATTTTCATCAAATAATTCATTCTTTTTACGCTCTGAAGTAAAAATTTCAAATATTACTTTTACAACTAATAAAATTGCTATATATTGAAATTGCGTACAGTAAATTGTTGCTAAAATAATATGTTGTAGCCAATAACTTTTACACGCCACAAGAAAATAAACGGCCGACGATAGGAAGAAGTTTTTACAAAAGCCATATTTTTTAAAAGTGGAAAAAGAAATAGCATTCCAAAAACAATTGACTATCAAATGTATAGAACAAAATTTGGAAGCATTAACACAATTGTAGCTTTCGTATATTTTGTGAGGTTCATTAATCAAACCGTTTATTTTTAAATCAAATTGGCAAACCAAACAAAATGTTAATTGACATTTTTTTTGGATATTATTAAAAAAAATTAACATACAAATTCGAACAAAATATTTAAAAAATAATTATTCATTACGTTTGAGTGTTCGGTCGCTGTTTTACGTGTTTTCTTTTTTAATTTGGTAAGTGTCATTGAATATGTCAAGGTCTTCTGTTTCGGTCGCGAAATATAATATTGGCTTTTCGTAAGTGAAGTAATTCTTTTTCATTTTTTAAATTTAAAGGTCGATGAAGTGTGTGGATGTAAAAAAAAATCCATAATTGTTTTTCGTAATACAAATGTGATTAATATTTTAATGTAATGATGTACCGATTTGTTCGTTACTTCACTTGATATACTGAAAAGTAATTAAAAAATATAACTTAACTAGCTGTCGCCCGAGACTCCGTCCGCGCGAAAAAAAAATACTTTTGGTCGCAGCGTAATGTTATATAGCCTAAAGCCTTCCTCTATGAATGGACTATCCAACAAAAAAATAATTATTCAAATCTAACCTGTAGTTCCTGAGATTAGCGCGTTTAAACAAACAAACTCTTCCGTTTTATAATATTCTTATAGATAAATAAAAAAAGAACATAGCGAATATATTTCGTTACAAAAATATTATTTGATTTAAATTAATTCATTGCGAAATAAATTGAAAATCAGTGAGCCCGACATTTAATCTATAGATTAGGATTCGGTTACTGAACAGGAAATGAGCTAGCAGCTTTGTTCCCCTAATATATACTTATATAGATATTATTGTAAGAATAGCCCTTAATAATTATTTCCAAAAAGATTCTTGTAATTTTTAATTAATCGAAAATCTTACTAACATTATAAATGGGAATGTTTGGATTGATGGATGTTCGTTTGAAATTATCTGCAGACTAGCTGCACAGATCTCGCTGTAATTTGGCATAGATGTAGAACATCTGGTAGTACACATGAACTGCTAATTACGGGCGACAGCTAGTATACAAATAATTAAAAAAAAATCATGACAATAATATTGTAGCCGATAAATTTAAGACATTCTGGCAAAAGGGTATCTGTTCAATTAACCGTGATTTTGCATGTTCGTAGCGACATCTTAAAATACAAATTGAAACGTCTACGTCTGTGATGATTATTCGATTCTGGAGGTGTATTAATTTGTCATCCTTTTGTATCACTAATGTATCTTCACCTTCTAAACACTTACCGTAGGTTTCCGAGACTAAAATTTCTCTATAAAGCGTATCGTCATCACTGTCATTATCTTTGTGAAAACAGAGATAGGAATATGTTTTAACCGGGAATTTTGGTGTCAGAAAGCAACGGATAATCGCATTATGAAAACGTTTTGAGATGTCATACCATATAACCATCTATTTGCCTGTTTACCATGTTCTAAACGTAAATTATAAGAAAATATGTTTCATGTTTACTATTGGTGTGATTTTGAGATTTTTTCCAGTAGTTAATCATCATCATCAGCTCACTATACGTCCCCACCGAGGGGCTCATAGCCTACCCTAAGTTAGGGGTGACTAGGCCATAGTCAACCATGCTGGCCAAGTGCGGGTTGGTTGATTTTACACTTTGAATTTCTCTCTCAGATATGTGCAGGTTGCATCACGATGTTTTCCTTCACCGTAAGAACGTCGGATAAATGTACATATGTAATTCGGAAATCGAAAAACACATTAGTGCATGGCGGGATTCGAACCTAGGACGTGCAGATTGCAAGTCAAGTGATTGACCCCTGAGCCATCGACGCTCAGTCTGCTCAGTAGTTATTAATTTTTACAAATTAACAAAAAGTAATTACAAATTTCCTTCATTAATATTATTCCATTTTTTAAAAGTTAAAACAATTCTTCCCTCTTTCAGTATAACTTTAGTTTTTTTAACGAAAGTATTTTTATTAATTTAACAAAAAAACTTAGATATATTTACTTTAACGTTTTATTATAAAAGTTAATTAACTTGAAAAAAAACCTTAGGGGAAAAAAAATAAAGACGGAATAATCGTCAATTTCCTAACCCTTTTTAACGTATTCTTTACAAACTTTGTTAAGGTTGAAATAGACTACGATAATTTTTATTTTTTTTTGCGGCATAATGTCCATAATGTTTACAATAGTAGGGATAAATCAAGAGACACTAAGTATAGTAATTTAGTCTCATAGTCTAATAACAACGTAACAATGAAATCATTTAACTGTTTGCATGTAAAGGATTAATTTGAAATTATTAAATTTTCCTTACACAGCGTGTCATAAAATTCAACGATAAAACGGTAATTATGTATAGCCAGGTCGATAAGTAAACGAGGAAAAATACTAAAAAAACTAACTCTTTTTGTTTAAAAGTTACATTAACTTTTGTAACTTTTCTTATATAATTTGATACCCTCCACCATATCATTAGGCACTATCGCTACAAATATGAAGATATTCCTGTAATTTTTTTTTGTATTAGCTACTGAAGTAATATAGCTATTTATTGAAGTTAAAAAATGGACCAAAACATTAGTAATTTAAGCAAAAAAAAAATATTTACTTCAACTGTTTTCTTAGCTATTTTTAGCTATTCATAGGCTTAGCTTGGCTCGGTTTAAAAACGCCAATTTAACAGTGTTATTACATAAATTATTTTTTATTACAAAATATGATTGAAATTGTGGCGTGCCTCCACGCATTTATTGTTTTAAATTATTATACTTATGTTATTAGTTATAGTTAGTATTAAATAGTAGAACTTAATTATTTAAATATAGTATTGTATAAATAAAATATATATTGTTTGTATAATAAGTAGATATATTAATAGTAATTTGTACGTTGAGGCGGACAAGCGAACGCGTTTTATATATTCGTAATTTCGCGCGTAGCAACGACGCGACGAGAGAACCGGTCGTCGCTGGCGCATCGAGCCAGTCGGCCGGCCGCCGCTGTCTCAGTCGAAAAAATCTCTCGACACGATCGCATGTCCGTCGCGCGCGCGCATTTCGCTTGCAGCTCGTACCTATGCCATTTCTTTTGTATCGCCTTTCCTTCTTCAATACACCTTCTACTTCTTGCAGTGCTTTCTTTCTTTCCTACCTATCCACTGCTTTATTGGTGACCCACATTGAACACAACGACGAGTGATTCGGAGAACAAAGACGGCAAAATGGCGCTTGAAACATTTAGAGTCGGCGTGAAGGTACCTCCATTCTACGCCGAAAAACCAGCCCTTTGGTTCGCGCAGCTGGAAGGCCAATTCCAGCTGGCCAATATCACCGCAGACGGAACCAAATTTTTCTACGCGATTGGACAGCTGGAACCACAGTACGCCGCTGAGGTTGAGGACGTCATTACCTCCCCACCGACGAACAACAAGTACGACAAGCTGAAGAGTGAGCTCATCAAGAGGTTGTCGGCATCCCGGGAGAAGAAACTGAAGCAGCTCTTGGACCATGAGCAGATAGGGGACCGCAAGCCATCAGCGTTCCTGCGCTACCTACAGAACCTGGCTGGTCCTGGAGTTCCTGACGAGTTCCTAAGGACAATCTGGACGAGCCGGCTTCCTTCTGGCACCCAGACCATCATAGCTTCACAGCCGAGAGCAAGCCTGGATGAGTTGGCTGAGTTAGCCGACCGAGTCCATGACGTCGTCTCACCGTGTCAACAGGTTGCTTCGACCTCGCGAGCAGCCCCATCCGGTAGCAGAAGCGAGACAGTGGAAAACCAGATCGCCGAGCTCACCAAACAAGTCGCAGCCCTCACAAATAAAATAACCCAGATGTCGAGAGATGGTCATCGTCGGGCAGCCGGGCGTAACCGAAGTCGTTCCCGATCCCGGAATCGTTCCCACTCCAATTACCGCAAGTATCCCAACTGCTGGTACCACGCAAAATTTGGTGGCAAAGCGGACAGATGTGTGAAACCGTGTGACTTTGGGTCGGGAAACTCGACGGGCAATCGGTAATGGCGGCCGACGATTGCATCAACAGTGGTCGCTTATTTGTTACGGACAGAAAAACTAAAGTACAATTTTTAGTGGACACGGGCAGTGATCTTTGTGTTTTCCCCCGTATTTATGTTAAAGAACGCCGGGCTCGTACGGACTATGATTTGTGTGCGGCTAACGGAACGCCCATACCAACATACGGGCATGTCAACTTGGTGTTGAACTTGGGCTTGCGCCGCGACTTTGCTTGGCAATTTATGGTGGCCGACGTTACAAAGGCGATAATAGGTGTGGATTTTTTATCATTTTTTAATTTGGTTGTTGATTGCAGGAATCAACGACTTATCGACAATAACACTAGCTTGTCGACTGTGGCTTCGCTTGCTCGACACGATCGCATGTCCGTCGCGCGCGCGCATTTCGCTTGCAGCTCGTACCTATGCCATTTCTTTTGTATCGCCTTTCCTTCTTCAATACACCTTCTACTTCTTGCAGTGCTTTCTTTCTTTCCTACCTATCCACTGCTTTATTGGTGACCCCGACGTGATCGTATCGACAATAACACTAGCTTGTCGACTGTGGCTTCGCTTGCTCGACCGTCGGATATCATTTCTTCGGTAAAATGCGTAACTGGTGAGTCTGATTATCACGACATACTACGCGAATATCCTGACATCA